GCGCCGCAAAAGGTGTAAGGCGGAGCATGGAGGAACTAGCGTGTTTCACGGTCCTGTATCTCCATTCCTGGGCATGGGCGGGGGACCACGACACATCGACAGCTGGGGGGCTGATAGTCTCATACACCCTCAATGTGTTTGAGCGTACCATGTGTCTTTAAAGGAAAGGCTCGCGACCACAGATTACAGGTTACGGAGCTCATATACGAACGAAAATATGCTAGGTAACTGATTATTGGAGAAAAGATGCAAGAAAAACAATCCGAAGTGCCCTAAAAAGGACACCATGCCAACCCCAACTTTTACGTGCATTCAATGAAGAGATTCGAGATGGAGTTAGCTAGCATAGCGGCTACTAGCTAGTTGGTAGCCGATGGGGTCGGCATGGTCCTAAAGGGTGCCCGTGTGCCTATTGGTTAGCTTCAACGAGTTCTTGCCAGTTTTCACTTTTTGTACGTAGCACAGCCTCCAGAATCGCCTTCCGGATCGTCTGACTTATTTAAGAGGTTATAGCCTTGAATATTGCGGAAATTACCTTCCAACTCTTGAGCGTTTCTGCTCAGTTTTTTTGTCTTGCTTTTGACTTATCTTTTGAGTTACCTTGGGACATTTTCCTAGGCCCACTTACTCCGCCTTATGATCTGCTTCTCACGCAGAACCTGTTCGCAGGTCAGCAAAAACGAGCCCCTTTCGAGAGGGTTAAGGCGCCTCTCTCTAGCGACCGAATGAGACCCCAGCACGCTGAAGATCCCCTTCATACGATGGGCCCTGCCCTGAGTTTAGGAGCGCAAGCGGAGGAATATTCACAACGTAGTGTGCACTTCTTCCATCTTTCCCCACCAGTCGCTTTGAATTGCTATCCTAAATGCATTGTGACCGTTTGTCACTGGCCTGGCTGGGCTATTCTTACTCGCTTTTTAGCATCAGTTGTAATCTTTGAATGAATTCAGCCCAGATGTGCAAGCGTATTTGTAACTCACGGGTGAGAGTTAGAGTGGTTCTGGTTTTATGCCAGCTATTTTCAGATAGCAGAATACCTCGATCGTTTTGTGGTGGGACAAAAACAGGCGAAAAAGACGCTTGCAGTCGGTGTGTATCAACACTACAGACGACTCGAGCATAACATTGAGAGTGGTGCTGCTTCAATTCATCAAATCAAAGAAGACGTCAAAAATACTCCAAGAGGGGTTTTGTACCAAGTCAGTGTAACAGCAATGATCTCGAGTTTGCAGCTTTTTTATTTTGTGTAACATTTACCTGGTAATCTGTACGCTACGCCTACTCATTGTTTTAAGGATGAAAGTCGGCTTGGTCACATTGCCACCAGTGAGCTGCGAACGTCGCCCATCACGTCTGCGTATATTCAGGTTATTTTACTTTCAACTAAGCTTATTAACATTTATTCGTTCCACCTTCAATGTCCCTTCGCGCGATCTTGCTTGAAATTGGGGCACGCAGGTTGGAGATCTCTATTATGGTCGTAGCCCTGACCTTTCTTGAGTTTCAAAATAAGGTAGCGAACGTGTTCTTTCGACAGTACAAAACGAGAGTAATCACGATTAGGGTTATGTTTCACCACCCTGAAGAGCATCTCATTAAAAGAAGAAATTTGAAGGTGGAATGGTACTTAGTGTTATAGTTCTCTCACAAAAAAGCTGCGCACAATCACCTTCGTCTCGATCAAGGAAAATAAAGATGGTAAACTTATTCCAGCGGCATCAGTTCCTCCCCTCACCTCCCCCACTTGTCCCCGGTCAACCGCTCGATGCACCACATCGGACCAGGGTAAGAATCTATTGCGCGGCGAACTGGTGAAGGATGTTATCCACGGCATTCGCTTTTTTTATCTTGCTTTTTCTACTTTTTCATGAGATTCTCACTGTTATCTTCTTTATATTATTGGTTTTGGTACTATGAAGTATTTATTAAGCAAGTTCCGCCCATGCAAACTCCTCCTGCAAGACGAGCACCGCCAGTGTTTCGAGCGATTCCAGACAAGGAACCAATTGTTAGGCTTGAAAAGTCCAACATCTTGCTAATTGGTCCATCAGGAGTTGGGAAAACTTTCCTCACTCAAACTTTGGCCAGGTAGGTTACCTCGGAACTAGAGATTCTCTGCTTTGGCTTTAGTTATTTGAGTATTATAGTATTTTTCTTGGTTACGGCACAGTTTTCGCGAACAGTAATTATTGTGAGGCTGCATGATTTAGTCGGCATGCTTTAGTCCTTAAAATGCCTCCAAGAGGGCTGGGTCTGGCGCGGCGCCATTAGTAGCCGACCAACTGGTGGGAAACTAGCTGGCACCGCGCCAAACCCAGCTCTCCTGACACAGCACAGCATCCGCAGCGGAATAGTTGAAATTCATCAATGGTAGCTCGTGGTTCACGATGAACATTATAGCAAGATAGTTAAAGTTTTTGTTTCTCCACATATCTTTGGAATATAAGTCACGTACGGGATGAAGGTGGAAAAGATTGGGCGAATTGATAAAAATAATTCGCAGCGTGATTCGCTCCGAAATCAGCTTGTACGCACCAATATGTATTCAGTAGATAGAGGAACGACAACAGCCCAACGATTCGAGCGGCTCGATACTGAATCACAGGGGAAGCTTCATTTGGAGGGTTTATTTTATGATGTGTTCCAGAATACTTGATGTTCCCATCGCTCTTTGTGACTGCACGTCTATGACGCAAGCTGGGTATGTTGGTGAGGACGTGGAAAGCGTGATTCAGGTAAATTTATTTCAGTGCTATTGGAGTTCCTGCGACGCTGTTCAGCATTTGCATTTTCGTTAGATCCTGTTGAATGGCGCATCACCTCATAGTGAGGCTCTTGTCAAGTGTGAGCAAAGCCCCTGCTATCGTGTAGCATTGCAGAAGTTATAATAACAGGTTTCCACAACAGGCATCGGCAGTGATCGATGAGAACTAGCAATTTGCCCCAACAAACCGAACTAATAAGGATCTTGTTGCAGAAGCTAGTACAAACGGCCGGCGGAAATGCAGAGAAAGCTCAGCAGGGTATCGTTTTTCTCGATGAAATAGACAAAGTGAGTCCTTCAGTGCTTCTTCGACTTGAGTATGTTGACATTTGCTGTCGTAAAAACTAAACACTAACTGTTCAAGCGGTACTCATGTGAATGATTTTAGATAGCGGCAGCTCACGAGGGACATTCTCCTGCGTATCGTGATGTTAGTGGTGAAGGTGTTCAACACGCTCTTCTCAAATTGGTTGAGGGTACGGTAGTAAATGTGAAGAGTGGGCGAAAAAGTGTTGGTGCGCAGCAGGATACTGTTCAGGTAAACATTCTCGGTTGTTTATTCCGAGCTTGTATAAGCCAGGCTTCTACAGTAATTGTTGGCGTTTATAACCTTGAGGGAGAAGGCTGACGAGTTCAGAGACCTCCTTGTACAGAGCTGAGATTCCCGTAATGGAGACGAGAACTTTCGCCTAAACCTGAAAGAAGGGGATCTTCGAGAATTATGTATCAATTTAAAAGGGCGGTACTTTTATTTGGGTGATGTTGTTCTCACAGATTGTTTTTTTTTTGCACAGAGAATCCTTTATTTGCCCCCCCCCCCTCCCCAGTGTTGTAAGCCCTCAATTTTTTTATATAAATGCTAAGGAAAGGGTAATGAATATACGCTATATGATGCAGTTTCTTACTTTTACAGGTTGATACTTCTGATATCCTTTTCGTTGCATCCGGTGCATTCAATAACTTGGACAAAATTGTGGCTCGTCGACTCGACAAGAAAAGTTTGGGATTTGGTAAGGATTCCTGCTGTTTTGAATAGATCCTCCTTCAGTAACATGCGACTGTTCATTTAATTTTCTTTCGGTTCTCTTACTCTTTTTCCTTCCTTTTCTCCTACTTTATAAATTTTAAATTCCAAAATGCGAGAGAAGCGGTTCGCCTTCCCTGTTTTTTTTCAAACCCTCTTAAAGTCATTTAATATAATTATTCTCGACTGATTTTTTTCACACTGAGGAATGAGGTCGGTGGGCAACTCAGACGGTGAAATTTTGTCCGGGAATAAATTCTATTTCGAAGCCGATTACCTCGAAATGCTGCTTCATAAATTTTGCCATCATCGCTTTTTGCATTACTGGCCTGCGATTTTAGCGTTTTAAAACGGCTGAAAAGTCGGTTAGATAACGGTCCAAACGCTTTTGATCTTACGCACCGCACTTCGCTGAAAAGACCGTCGCGCAAAAGATAGACGCCCTTTTCCGTACAATCCATATTGCTTAAGACTTGCCCGAACTGCGTGCCAATTCAATAATTTATCAAAATTTATTTATCAAATGAATGATTGCCAAAAATTTGAGTAAATATGTTCAGTATGAGTTTTACACTAAAATCGCTTGGGAATTAACCTAAATTTGCTTTGATGTTTTGTTTCAAAGCTTTTCTGTTTTGAGTCTATTTGCAGTGAATCTTTTAAATGCACTGCTGAATAATTATTTACAATATATCCTTGACTTATGTTCACCTTAGTAAAGTACCCCAAACAGTTATGCTTTTAGCGAGCTTTCAGCACCTGCTTTTAAAACGTTTTGTGTTTCAGGAGGGATTCGTTCTTCGGTGAACTTCCGCGTGTGTCTCGGCTGATGATGCAAACTCGGAGCAAGCACGGAAACGGGACTATTTGCTATCCAGAGCCGATCAAGGCGACCTAATCAATTTCGGAATTGTTCCCGAATTAGTGGGACGATTTCCAGTGCTCGTACCGTTCCACTCATTCGATCAAGACGTGAGTTAAACTGTAGTTTTTTATTATTGGCAGCTCACACTTGTTATTATTGCCGATCAAATCGAATTCTTATATTAAATGGTTTCAGATGTTAGTTCGTGTGCTCACGGAACCACAGAATTCACTACTTACTCAGTTAAAGTTGCAGTTTGCTATTGATAATGTGGGTTGATTTGAATTCAGGAAACATTGAAAAGAAAGCGTTGCTCACAGAAAATTACATGATTGTTCTTCTTCCAGGTAGATCTTTCCTTTTCCTCAGAAGCTTTACAACAAGTTGCACAGTTGGCTTTGGAAAGGAAAACAGGTACGTGTGCTAAATACCGTTGTGCTTTATATTGTGTTCAGATTATATGGGCAGTTGGGAGGTTTCGGGCGTTACTTTGGGCGTGTTAAGTCACATCTTACAATTGGCTCCAAGATAGTGGGCATTAACCTTTGCAAATGAAAAATGCAAAAAAATGCCCAGCCATCAAGACAGGGCAACACTTGTGTGAAACTTAAAGGCAATTCCCGCGACCACAGCTCATAGGCAATACGGTTCAAAAATAGAACTGCTGTGTCATTGTTGACTTATTGAGGGAGAAGGAAGCACGAAAAAGCGCCCGGAATAAGACCCGCCTTATTTACCACTGACCATGCACTTAATTGGCATAGTCCGGAAGAGCCAAAAGCGTAAGGTGGTCAAGATCAATTGTGAATTGCGAAAGGCGACGATACACTGATAAGAGACGAGAGAGGCCAGAAAACGACGGGCGAGAGAGCGCAATGGCAGCCTCACAACGACACGGTCACTGGAGGCCGGCATGGGCCTATCGGGCGCAAATGGGCCTAAAACCTGAGCGCCCTACGTTTTGCTTGCTGTTTTTCAACTTTTAAAGCGGTATAGCCTCTGACGTTGCACTTGGACCATCGTGTGCTTGCGGTATGAGATTCCACGCTAGCAGTTTATCGCGGAACGTGCCTTTAAATATAAAAATATCCCCCGAGCAGCGAATCTTACGCCATGTTCAAGTGAACTACGCAGCCATACCCACTCCCTCGCTGGGAGGCGCATTCTACGTGTTGTCAGTGATCGGGAGAGTTGTTACCATTTAAAGACACTGCCTCTACTCTGTGGATCCCAGTACTTGCCATGTATGGCGAATGGGTCCTCAGCTGCGGAGGGTGTTCGAAAGTGCACAGGAACGGGGATGGTGGTGATATCTGGGTACTCTCTCCATATTCCGCTCACTCTGCCGCACCGCCAGCCGCACGCCTAACCATAGATTAACGCGCCACATGTTTGCACTCTCTCTCTCTCTGTGTGCGTGATTTGCTCGTGGTGTCGACGCGAATGCTGCTCGTTGAGAAGGGCGCGGGCGGAGTATGGAGACGGCACCCAGGTATGAGACAAGCCTGTACCACGAATGTTCTGAGGGAATACACTCATTGTAGCCTTTATAACACGTTTACAGCATAGTTGAATGAAGATATTGTGCACAACAGAGATTCGTTTTGGGTTCCCCATGAATTCAGTTTTCATTCGCAACCGCAGCGCCATTTGAATGCGAAGTAGGTTCACCCAATGGACTGTGAGGCCGTAGTGCCGATATGCGATTTTTTAGTCTTGTGTCAGTCCTGCGTCATCAGAAGGTTAAAAGCTTGTATGGCCTGGGCGGAAGTATATTTCAGCATATCCAAGTTTTATTGTGTCACTTGCATGCACCAAAAGTCATCGTTACTTCCTGATGTATGAGTGAAAGAGTTTCAGGAGCTCGGGCATTACGTTCGATCCTCGAAGGAGTGCTGCTTGATGCGAAGTTTACAGTTCCAGGCAGTGATATTGAGTCGATACATGTCACACGGTACGTGCTTTGAATGACAGTAAGTGATAAATTGCTGATGTTGTTCTTGTCTAGGGAAGCGGTACTAGGAGAAGCTGAAGTGGAGTATACGAGGCGGGTAGTTGAGAACAAACAAGCAGTGTCGGCTATGTAGTTAAAAACAATTTGTTTACTCTTCCCTACTTTGCAAATGTGACTGTGATTTACCGATGTATTATATGTTTGCTAACTGAGTTTTATAGACCAGGTCGTCTTGTGTGTGTGACATTTGTCAAAAGTGGGTATTTTCGATTTTTCGTTTATCAGACTCCTTCAGAATGGAGCAGTCCGTAGCTCAGATAATTAACACCCTTAACTACTATTAACTGTTGTTTCGTTTTCGAAATTCTATGTTGTTTCTCAACTATGAGAATGTGTGACATTGAGCGTTGATTAGGGTGAGTGGACCCGTGGTGTACATAGACTTGTATGCAAAGTTGTAGATTAAACTTTTATCGGACTTATATGTTAGATAGTTGTAATCGAGACGTTATAATGTTGTTCTGGCCATCAGCTTCATGTATCACTACACTATGAGACTACGTCATCACCAGCCGATTTTCTCAATTCGTTCAAATGTGTAGATAAACAGGAGATGAATACGAATGTATTAGGTGAAGTGATAAACTCATTTTCTTGCAAGTAAGTCAAAAAAGAGGTTCTGAGCTGTAATGGAAAATTGGAGATGAACCTTATGAGCTCGGGGAGAGGAAAAAACTAAACTAGTGAGTGTGAGCACTGCTCTATGCAGTCTGTGCTCAGAGCACGTCTTGGCTGGAAAGTCCCCAGCAGAGAGTCGTATTCATCGCTGAATAGGGGGAGTCGTATTTCCGAGGGATTTTCTTTTTTATTAGCTAATTTTTTTCTGTTTCACATGCGCGCTATACACAATGACTGGACGCGGAGACATTAGTGGTGGGGGGGGCTTCAAATTTGCTCGTTGCTTTTAGCGGGAGGGAAAAGCCAATACCAAGTAGAGATTTTTGGATTGACGTTTCGAAGTTTTTTTTCCCGTTTCGCGTGCGCTGGCAGTATTAACTTGGGGAGTAGGGATCGTATTAGAGAAGGAAATTCGGGGGTCGTATTATGCGAACCTTTGCTCCAGCGACGTTGCGTGCCGTGTCTGTACTTAGTCTCCTTGAAGACAGCCCCCGCGCTCGAGTAGTACATGGTCGTCCTTCCTTTGTGCAAGTAGTACATCCCAACCTAGAGACTATCCCACTCTCGCGACTCCACAGCGAGCGAGGAGCGAGCTACAGCTGCTGAAAGTTCTAGTTCTAACGCCCGCCCAGTTGGACCGCCCACTTGCTAGATGCCCTCTGACGGAGAGCCGCTCAGTTGTTCTTTGTTGGGGCGGCGGGCATTAATCGGAATTGCATGTCCTTTTGCTGACCGCGCTCGTGCCAATGAATGATTCTGCTCTCCTTCATTACATTTTATTCATTGGGAGCACATACAGTCAACTGCAACCCATCTCGCAAGGTAAAACGCCTAGAAATCACGAGCGACCCAATTTTCGTGGTGCAAAAGCTCGACGCACTACACAAAGGTGCACGTAACACTGAATTCGGACGCCGAGTTTTTGAAAGTGCCTTTTCCGTTTCAAGAGTTTTCTTCCGTGTTTCCGCAACGCGGTGTGACTGTCAGGGAGCAATTTTGTTTGTGGTGTTCTTGAGGACTCTTCTTGATTTTCTTCTTCTTTGGGAATTACTTATCAGCTACTGTTTCATAATAGAAAAGCAATTATCCATGACACTTTTATCGCGGAAGCTGTCTTTAAAGCGACGTAGCATCAATTGCACTATGAACCCTCTCCACTTCAGCTGACCAGTCATCTTATTAAATTCCCTTGAGAATTTCTTGAGTAGGAGGTGGAGGATAGACCGTTCGGATTATTAAGCACTTTCAGACCGCGAAAGTGCAACAGCCTCCGCGATTGCGGACCGCACCCAGTTTATGCAATCCGCACATTGGGGGTGCTCGCGGACTATGCCTTTACAATCGTCCTTCGCATCAGCACTTAAAGGGTGTTGGCACTGTAAATCTCCGAGACGGGATGGATTAATACGCCCGGTAGGACGGAATTCCGCGCCCCTGAGCAGGCTCTGCGTAGCGCTTTTTCTAGAGAAGGTACCCTCATAAGGCCCTATCAAGCTGCAACATACCGGCCCGAACACCCACCGCGCCCGCCCGCACACAAGTGGCGACCGTACCTGATGCTCGTATTGCTTCATTTGCGAAGTAAAATATGAAGCGAAGGGATTGACATGAAGCGGCCGCGGTGCTGCATGAATATTTGAGTACATAGGTGCAGCCGTATCTACCGTATCGGTTATTAGCACAATGTCTACGGGAAACTCGTCCGAAATTGCTTTTTTAGTCATTAAGAACGAAGGCTTTTCTTCGCAGGTTTTCGACCGTTTCACTTCGTTTTTTTTGCCATTTTCCCCACTACATAGCACCCTGCTAGCATTTTAGACTGAGTACCAAATTATCGTGTAAGACAAAACAATGGCTGAACTTCCACTTGAACGAGTAGTGCCGAGGCTTCTGGTGAAACAATTGCCTGAAAATGCTTGACCCCTGGGTCCATATCCAGAGGTAGGCAGGGCGTGGCAGCGCCTTCATTTGAACGTGCGGTATTCAAATGAAGTGCGCAGGCACGCCCTCCTCTTCTTTTTGGGATATGGAGCATATGCCGCTTCGCTTTACTCTACACTGTTAAGGCCGGTATCCAAAGCTGCCTGAATGGTTCAGGAGCCCTCAGCAACAACGGTGGATATTTTCAGTGCTATAGGAGATCGCGAAACATTATGTTATAACAGAGTAATAACCAAAACTCCCTGGGCAACCTAACATCCGCGAAATTTCTCATCGCAGTAAAACTTTACATCTACCCTCACTAAAAATATTTTTCGATGTTTACTACGAACAAATAACTGCTCAAGCAGTTTATGGCGACAAGTATTTTCTCAGTAGTCAGAATAAAGCAACAATAACAAGTCTATCGTCAAACAACTAGGAATATCTGCGCATAAAAATTGAGCTATGTGGACTGGTCCCGAAAAGCCTAGACGTCTATCCGTTCAAAGAATACAAAACTACTTGACAGTGCAATCCACGGTCGCACCCGGCAGTAAAAGTGATTATCATTTATTAACTGACGTTTGCTTTGCTGCTTGGACTGCGGCAGAGGGACCCAAAAGCATTTGTCGCTGTTGGGCTACCTGAAAAGCAATCATGTTTAGGTCAGTGAATAAATACAGGTTAGACGGATACAAGGAGAAAGGACAAAGCCTCGGGCTTTGGTCATTCTCTTCCCAGAATGCGCCACGAATTCCACTTCTATTCAGATTTTTCAGAAGCGTAAGGTGCAATTTGGCCTTCACAACGATATTTGAGGGTCAGCCGATTTGAAGCCAGCTACTGCAAGAAGAATGAGTACGAAGAAAAACGATTTGGCCCTAACCAAGACCCACTTTCTGGTTTCACGCTTACAGTGACAGCGTGCTAATTAGTACAAGTTAGAGTACGTTCATACATTGCATCAGGATTTTGGGCGTACACCAACATTTCCAGCGAGTAGAGAAGTATAGCTATCGAACTACCCTTTTGATAGTACTTTAGCGTAAGTTCAAAATGCTGACGGAAAGTGTGGACACATTTTCTACCAGTCGAGTATGGCACCAAAACACCGACCTCA